GTGTGTGTGTGTGTGTGTGTGTTGTGTGCATGTGTGTGCGTGTTTTGTTTTGTTCTTTTGAGTTTCTTTAAGTTACTCCCTGTTGTGGTTTTCCAGTATTGTTGTTTGTTGTTGTTGATGCTGGTGTTGTTGTTGAGGGGCCTCTTTTCGTAAGGGGAGGGGGAGGGCGGGGTGGGTAGGAGATCATGAGCGTTAGCATAAGAAAGCCATATAATTTTAGAGCAAATTCAGATCTCAGAATTTGTTCTCCTCTCAGCGTGAGGTATGAAACAGAAAGGAATCTGGACCAAGGAAATGCCTGTTCATTTACATTTCGAGACATGGGGATCCTACTGTTCTCTCAATGCCATACAGAGCCCCCCTAAAAACCTTGACATATCCCCCCAACCCGTGTCGAGGAGACGCGCATCAGAGTCAGACGTTTGTTCATTTGTCGCGACACACGCACGACAGCGTTGAGCAAAATGTCGTTACAATTTTTAGACGTCAAATCAAACGTTTTTAGTCGCGCGACCTCGCACCGAAGCTGACGAAGACTTTGGGAGTGTTCTGTACCTCATTCAGAAGTCTATAGATGACGCATACATTAACACGGGCACAACAGAGTTGTCTGTTGACATTTAATATTAATATTGAATAGAATGTATTCATACATTCGAGCGCATAAATTTACAAAAGGCGTATGTATTTTTATTTTAAGAATCAAACAAGGGATATAGGAGGTAGAAAGGAGGAGGGGGGGGGAGGATTTGGTTATGTCCTTCCTAACCTGTACATTGTACTTGATATAAGCCCATTTTATTTATAACTATTTTCCTAGGGACGGGGATGGGGTGGTGATGTGTTTTCTACTGTTGGCCGTGTAATGTCGTTGTTGCTGTTGTTTGTCACTGTTATTTTTGTAGTTGCCGTTTGTATTTTTGTTGTTACTGCTGCTGTTGTTGTTGTTGTTGTTGTTGTTGCTGTTGTTGTTGTTGTGGTTGTTTTTACTATTACTATTGTAATTACCGTTGTTGTTGGGAGCTGTGGTGATTGCCCCTTCAAGCTTTCATCACAGTGCAGCCGCGCAAGAGATGTGAAGTCCTCCTGTCAAGCGTCCATCCCTGGTAGGGCCCAACCAAGTGGACACAGAATCAAGAAACCTCCTCAAACTTCAGGAGTCTATGCTTATTTCTTTTAGATTGGAATTAGGACCATCCATACTACCTTAAACCATGATATCATTGAAACCCATGTGACCCTGCTGCTTCTACAACTAATTAAAAAATTACAACGTCAAAGTTGATTTATCCCAGACTGAAACCATCCCATATACCTTTGACGACACAAACCAATGCCTCTGAGAGACAAAAATAGAGCATGTTACTATACCAATGCTTGTGAGGTATAAAGACAGTATAGTATGTTCTAAACCGGTACTTCTGAGATGTGAAAACGATAATTATAATATGTTACATGATTTGTGCTTCTGGGATTTGAAAACAATACAATTGTAATACGTTGCTGAATTAGTGCTTCTGGGGTATAAAAACAATATAATATGTGAGGCAGCGTGTTGGAATCAGGCTCTCGTCAATTTTTGAGCATATAGAGTTATTGGTATCATCTTAAAGATTGTTCACTTGTCTTTTGTGGATGAAAAAATTATCCATATATCTTGATTACAAGTCGAGATATTTGTGAATGAAGGAGGTGGGGTCACCTGTTTTCAGAGGTAAAATTAGTGAGAAAATGGCCGCCAAAGATTAAGTATTTCCTTAGTATAAGAGTCCGTGGTAACTGAAAATTTACATTTTTTTATGCCTTAAACCAACGTTTTTCAGAAAATTCCACGTAGAAATTAGTTCTTTAATGGGCTTGACAGGTGCTGAGCCAAAAAACAATAACTTGATAAAAATGCACAAACCCGTGGAAAAATGCCAGTTTCTTCTTTTTGATTATTTTGACGACAGTCTGATTACACCACGGTGCCTCACATATGTTACTGAATCATTGCCTCTCAGATTTGAAAACCTTATAATATGTCACTGAATCAGTGCTTTAGAGATACAAAAATAGTAATGTGTTTTGTTTTGTTTTGTTTTTTCTTCAGAGGAGAATGTGTCACCTGGAGTTGTTCACAGACCGGCGCCATGTTGTGGAGGAGCCCAGTTTGGCCGTGATGTGTTCGTCCACTCAGACATTTTACCACTCCCCGCTCCCAGAGAAACTCTGGGTGGACAAAGTACATTCGCTGAGAAATATCAGGTCGTGTGTCGTGACCCTCTACCCTCAAAGTTTTCCTCACCAGCAAAAACATCAGGTTTAGATGACCGCGATCGTCATGCTGTTGAAAAATCCAGCAGACCGAGCAGCCTGCAAGAGGGCCAGGGGGAGACAACCACTTGTCAGAGCAGGGAAGTATCAAGAGTTACGTTCCCTTTACTCGACCACAAAACCTCTTCGAAGTTGTTGGAAGGCTGCAGATATGTCTCTAACGACTCCGCCCTACTTTCCTCAAAGGGAGAAATTTCTCAGGCTGCTTCTCACTATCCTGTCTATGCAAAATGTTCACGAATATACTCCCCTCAAATGCAGCCATCAGACCCTGCCTGTTCCATACTGGAAAGACGCAATTCTCCACATAATTCACAAGGGTGTGAGGAGTCTCATCGGTTGTATGGACAGTTATCAGAAACAAACAAGTCATGCTTCACTCATCCCAGCAGTGTACCCGGCGTCTACTCATCAACCACGGCGCCAATCATTGCTTGTGTTCAGAGCTCTAGTCTAGACTTCCTGCAACGGCATCATAACAGCAGAATTTCCGTAAAGGAAGAAATCCCTGTCTCGGAATCTCCTGTACCTCAAAGGTGTCCACCCCCCAGTCTTTCTTCATCTAACACATGGAAGACACCAGACACAAATATCACCTCACCCTCTAGCAGCGCTCCTCATCCACCCGGACCTCACAAACCTGCTAGGGCTAAGATGTCGTTTTCAATCTCTAGCCTCATAGGCAATGAAGAAAAGGATACAGAAGCTGTTGATACATCCGAAAATTTCGTGAACCAAATTAACAAATGCCAAGACAATCACAAATGTGAAGTCAAACAATTTTTACCCCGCCAAAGTGATATGGACCAATATTCAAATTCAAAGACACCTGAGCCAAAGGTAAAAAGTTCAGAAAACCTATCGGTGAGCACTTCCTTTTCCAATAGAATCCTCAAAGCATGTTCACAAGTTGATCACCTATCGTCTTTACCTCAGCCTCGTGAAAGTTCTTATTCAGAAGATTCCCTCTCCACACAAAATTCCATACGTGGGGATTCACATCAAGCTGAAAGTAAAAGTTCCAAATGTGCATCTTTAGAAATAAACTCGTCCTATCATAGATATAAAGTCGAAACTTCATCTTCGGTTAGCCGTGTACAGGAAAGCCAAAACACAGCGCCAGTGGTCCGTTCTCCCAGCGATGAAACGAACGACAGCTCAAACTACACATCAGACACTCCTCCTCAACCCTCCGCTTTTTCAGAAATCTCACCCCGTCCCGAGTGTCACCAAAACTTGAGCACAAACATCGCTCCTCCCCCGGACGTCCAAAAAGACCCCTCTGCCCTACCCTCCATCCCTGGCACCCAGGAGAATCATTTCCCATCGTACAGGCCATACTTCCAGGAGATGAACGGCTCATTGTCAAAACCACTGGTCAGTCCGGCGGTCAAGGATTATGACCTGCGTCTTCCAGTTCCCCCCTCGCCGCTCAGCGTCACGGACCACCCGATGACTCACCGCTATGTCCTCCCAGGACATTTATGGCAACGACTTCCCGTACGGGCCTCTCTCTATCAGCCATTTCCGATGCGATTCGAGGCCCGAGACCCCCAGTTCAACGTTCATAACCCACTCCTCACGCCGCTTCACGCCAGCACGGAGACACCTCAGAAGATATTCCTATCCTCCAACATCCGTCCCCACTACCAGAGCCCGGCCTATGTAGGTCACGGCCCTGACACACTTCCGGCAGTGGTAGGCGTGAGTACAGGTCAGCACACTGTGAGTCAGAGCGAGGACACCTCACCTCGCAGTGACACCACGAATGGGAGCCTCCCCTCCTCTTCCTCTTCATCCGCCTCCTCCGGTCTACTCTCTCCCACCTCCCCAGCACCCTCTTCCGCTCACTCGGACATTCTGAGCCCTGTCAAGGCCGGTCACGCTGACGTCACGGCTCTGTCCAGTCACGTGATCAGTCAGCCAGGACACGCCCCAGGTCACCCTGACCAGTGTCCGTCCCTTTCCCGAACAAGCCTGGACGGTCTCCGCTGGAACGTCGGACGACCCGGCAAGGACGAGTCTCAGGAGGGGAAAAGTTTCAAGACGTTTCTAGAGGTCAGTTCCGGTTCCTTTCTGTCTGACACTTTACTTTCCTTTTTGACAGAGGCGGAGACTGAGACGGAGACTAAGAAAGAGACAGAGACAGAGACAGAGACTGAGACTGAGATAGAGACAAAGACAAAGACAGAGACGGAGACAGAGACAGAGATTGAGACTAAGATAGAGACAGAGACGAAGACAGAGACAGAGACGGAGACGGAGACAGAGATTGAGACTGAGGCTGAGATAGAGACAAAGACAAAGACAGAGACGGAGACAGAGACAGAGACAGAGATTGAGACTAAGATAGAGACAGAGACGAAGACAGAGACAGAGACGGAGACGGAGACAGAGATTGAGACTAAGATAGAGACAGAGACGAAGACAGAGACGGAGACGGAGACGGAGACAGAGACAGAGGCAATACCTTACTTATTACGATAGTATTTATCTTTTTGATGTTGGTGATTTTACACCCCCATCGACACAGTTTAGATCATTTAGGAGGTGGTCTTCTGGCCTTGCCTGTCGGGGCGGGGCCAACCCGGACTGGGAGGGATACAGCATCCCAGCAGACGGACCGAGATACTCGATAAAAATTTTCTCTCCATTTGGAAAGGGAATTCTGGTCTCATGTGCGCGACAGCGACGTGCCAAACTGTTACACCACAGACGCAGGTAATACATGCAATAATAACGAGGAGAAGAAGAAGAAGAAGAAGAAGAAGAAGAAGAAGAAGAAGAAGAAGAAGAAG